AGTCTGCTTCTCCCTCTGACCCTCTTCCCTCTTGTGCTCTCTATCTCTCATTCTCTCTCTCTCAAATAAATAAATAAAATCTTTAAAAAAAAAAGTAGTGAGTTGCCTACACATAAATTTAGCAAAATATCTACAGGATCAGTATGTGAAAACTATAAAACACTGATATAGGATATCAAACAAGATATAAAGAAATGGAGATACATACTGTATACTGTGTTCATGGATTGGAAGCTTCAGTAAAAATGTCACTTCTCAAGTCTCCCTACAGGTATCATGAAATTCATTTAAAAATTCCAGCAGGATTTTTTTTTATAGCCACAGACTGTACGATTCTAAGTTTATATTAAAAAGCAAAAAAAAAAAAAAAAAGCTGTGTCTGGGTGGCTCAGTCCTTAAACGTCTGCCTTCAGCTCAGGTCATGATCCCAGGGTCTGATCCAGAAAAAAATTATCAAGTTTGACCTCATAAAAATTAAAAACCTGGTATGCTAAAGATCCTGTTAAGAGGATGGAAAGACAAGTCATAGACTGAGAAGAAATATTACAGTTCACTTGTTCAACAAAGAACTTGCATACAAAATGTGTTAGGAACTCTCTAAACTCAATAGTAGGAATACCAAAAATCCAAACAGCAAATGGGCAAAGGGTGTGAGGAGACATTCCAGTGAAGAGTATGTATATGGATAGGAAATATGCACATGAAGATGTTCATCATTACCAATTAGAAACCCATTCAAGAAATACAGATTATTAGATAGAGGTAATATGTAGCATAAATATAAATAAAACACCTTGGAGGGATTAAAGACCTAAATGTGAGATCTGAAAACATAAAAATCTGAGAAAAGAGCATAGGCAGTAATTTCTCTGACATTGACCATAGCAACTTCTTTCTAAATATGTCGCCTGAGGCAAGGGAAACCAAAGCAAAAATAAACTATTGGGACTACATCAAAATAAAAAGCTTCCACACAGTGAAGGAAACAACAAAACTAAAAGGCAACTTACAGAATGGGAGAAGGTATTTGCAAATGACATATCTGATAAAGGGTTAGTATCCAAAATATATAAAGAACTTATAAAACTGAACACTCAGAAAAATAATCCAATTAAAAAATGGGCATAAGACATGAAGAGACATTTTTCCAAAGAAGACATCCAGATGGCCAACAGACACATGAAAAGATGCTCATCATCACTGATCATCAAAGAAATGCAGATCAAAACTATAATGAGATATCACATCATACCTGTTAGAATGGCTAAGATCAACAACACACAACTATACTATAGAGAACAAACTGATGGTTACCAGAGGGGAGGTGGGTGGGGGGATGGGTGAAATAGGTGATGGGGATTAAGGAGTGCACGTGTCATGATGAGCAACAGGTGATTAAAACATTAAAAAAATATTTTGGGGAAATTCAAATTACATAGCTAACAGAATGGCCAACATCAAAAATACATAAGTGAAAAATAGGTTTAAAAAATGGAACCAATAAAGGATATCTCTTATATGGACCCATGTGAGAGTGGGACGTGCTTGAGTTGTAGAGTTTCCTAGAAGAAACAAATTATTTATAACCAGGAAGTAGTTCCATATAAGCATTCTTAGTAAATTGCCTGAAGAGATATCAAATAGGAGGTCTAAAGCACTCAGGATTCAATAATTTCACTAAATTTTGACCTCCATGCCTTCTTTTATATTAGTGATTTTCTTTTCGTTAAACTGGGTCTCCCAAATCCTATAAGGTTTGGCCTTACAAAACCGGATGGGCATTCAGAGGTGAGAGTGGATAAAAAATAACGGAAAGTCACTGAATTCATTTGGTGGCAAAACGCTTGGTAATAAAAAAGATTGCTATTTGTCTCTGACAACCTTGTAAATATGAACCTTAAGCCAGAATATATTTATTATTTATGTACCACCTTATTTGAAAAAGGATGTGGAGTGACAGAAATAATTGGTTTAGTACAAGATAAAACCTAGTAAGTAAGTTCATAGAGGCAAGTATATCAGTGTTTAAATCTATGGCGTGTGGGCTCATACTTCCTTGGTTTGAATACCAGCTCTTCCCACTTACTAGTTGTTACTTAACCTTTTTGTATCTCGGCATTCTCATCTGTAAAATGGGAATAATAATAGCACCTACTACACAAGAGTTTTTGTGAAAATAATTTATTACATGTAAAGCATTTAGAACAGTACCTGGCACATAGTCTAAGTCCTCAGTAAGTGTTAGCTATCATTACTAGCTCTGAATTGTGAATATTTGAAGAAGATACTGTATTCAGAATCTTCATTTGAAAGTAAACTAAAATATTGTCTTTGCCTAAAGTACTCCTTTGTTTTATTTTAGCTGTAGTGAAGAGACCTTATAAGTACCAAAGAACCAATAAATATTAAGAACTAAAAAAAGAAATTTGATGAAAAGCAAACATTATGTTTCTTGGGGCGCCTGGGTGGTGCTGTCAGTTATGCGTCCAAGTCTTGGTTTATGCTCAGGTCATGATCTCAGGGTTGTTAGATCAAGCCCTGAGTAAGTCTTCTTGAGATTCTCTCTCTCCCTCTGCCCCTCCCTGCCATGTACTCTCTCTCTCTCTTTCTCTAAAATAAATAAATAAATTTTTAAAGCATAAAAAAGAAAAGCAAACATTATGTTTCTTGAATTTAATTCTCTTCTGTTTCCTGATTTTTTTTTCTAAAATATGTCCTGAATATTTTTTATTGCTGTGTAAATTTCAGAACAACTCATTTCCTATTATTCAAGATCTTAACTTAAGGCTATTGCGTTTGGGGACTTTTCAAAATCTCTTCCTATTAATCATAATTTTCCTTTTCCCTTTATAGGTCACCATTTGCTGCTGTCACAGACTATTCAGTTACAAGGAATAATGTCATACAGCTCTGCTTGGAATTGACAACAATTGTGCAACAGGTATTAGCTGACAACCTTTACTTCTGTTAATTTATTATCTATTTCATATTCTAACAATGCCAAGTATTCTTTTTTACCAATAGTTTATAAGATACTGGTTTGGGAGTTTGTCACTCTTATGGTTCTAAATAAACCAGATACATCATTTGGGAAACTATTCATGTAACCCTATAAACAAGCATTTTATTTACCAGAAGATGTAAAAGTAAACTGAACCTCTAGAGAAATCATTATAAGATGGTAGGTCTGGTAGTCTCACATTTTATTGGGGGGTGGTTGTACTGCCTTTCACAAAATGAAATTGCCCCATTTAAATAACAGTCTAAGACTTTTGCTCTAAGACACTGTTCTTTATTAGTACAACTATTAGTTTCACTTATCTGTTGCACACATGACAAAATATAATAGCTTTCAACAGTGATCTATTTACATGTCCTGGTTTTTCACTTTGAATATTATCCAACCCAGGGATCCCCAAGTCAAATGCCTTCAAGAGTGCTGTGGCTAATGTAAATGTTTGAATCAAGTCTAGGATAAGATATGGAGAAACGTTATAGTGGTGAATTGACTAGTACATATTTTACAATATTTAATTAAATGTAATAACAAAACACATTTGAGAAGTCTGAAGCCCACAGTCACCATGCTGCGTAAGCCCCCGTGGCAGCTGTTGCCGCTGCGTTCTCAGGGGCCAGCATTTGTTAACCTATCCATTGATGCAGAAAGAAAGCAGATGATAAAAAGGAGATTATTGGGGAAGTTGATGATTTAATCTATTCTTCTACTCCCTGTCCTTTATTACCAGGGATAATTATAGGAAGGAGAGTAACTTTGTGACTTTTAATTGTGGAACACTTCGGACGTTCATCAGGATTCTATCATGGCAGTGAGAAGGCAGCTTGTGGTTACTCAGAGACATACGTGGAGATTGTGAACATTTTTATGAGCTTTGAGATACACTAATGGTCTCACTGCATGTCTTTGTATTTGATAGCCATAAACTCAAGTTCCGAATTTCAAAAATCTCAACTGGATTATGGGGAGAAGAGTGGCATTTTAGGACAAGGGTCAACAAACTTTTCTTTTTTTTAATTTTATTATGTTATGTTAATCACCATACATTACATCATTAGTTTTTGATGTAGTGTTCCACCATGATTCACTGTTTGCATAAACTTTTTGTAAAAGAATCAGATACTAAGTATATAAGGTTTTGTAAGCTACTTAGTGCAGGCTATCAGGGTCTGTTGCAACTACTCAACTCTGCTGTTGTAGAGCAAACGCAGCCATAGACAATGTGTAAATGGATGGGGGTGGCTATGTGCCTATAAGACTTTTTTGCAAAAAAAAGGCTACAGGTTGATTCTGGCCCATGGGCCATCTTTAGCTGACCTGTGTTCTAGGGCAATGCTAGACCAGTGTGGTCTCTGCATGAGCAGCATTATCATCACATGAAAACCTCTTAAAAATTCAGATACTTGGGATACACCCCAAATGTACTGTGGGGAGGGCCCAGGAATCTGCATGTTTGCTAGTTTTTCAGGTGATTCTGGTTCTCCTACATTGTTGCAGAGCCCTGGGGTAAAAGCAATAATATAATCTATGGGTTATTTTTCTTATAGCTCTTTGTTATCAATGACATTTCTTAAAAATGTATTTTCTAAAACTCTATTTCTTTTAAAGGCATTGAACTTAACCAAAGATTTGAGGTGTGGATAACAGATTATTAGTTTCTTCCCTTTTACTATGAGAGAGAAATTCTCTTGATTTAGGGATATATATTATATAGTATTTGTATGATAATCTTGCATAGCCTTTTAATATAGATATGTGCTCAGTAGCAATCTGTATTAAACAATCCTAATAAACCAAGAATTATTAAGTGATACATGTCCAGATCTGTGATAACTGTATTATATTTGTTATGTAAGCATTTTATTTACACATGAGAACCAAAACAATTGACATATGGTACAATTAAATGTGAGGATTATTGTCAGTTCTATGAGAATACAATCCATCTGATATCAACTTGCAAGAGAACTTCATTTCCAAGCATAATTATGACAGAAAGTGGGTGTTTTTCAGTTCTTGCATCTCCTCCAAACATCTGGACCTGGATAGCCTATTTAAAGTTTGCTTTTGAGTAATTGGACAACTCTGTTGCTTTATAAACCAAGACTGCAAATCTAAATGGCAGTCATGATGTTTTCTTGACAATCTTAAGAAAGAGTACTCAGGTGTATTCATTTTCTCTTAATTAATACAGAACCTTTTCCCATATCCAAAGGGGATCAACAAAGAGACCTTGAAAAAAAATTAGCTTTACTTAAGTACAGAGTGAGGTCATAAATGGAGAGTTTTCTCTGTTTAGAACTCACAGGTTCCAGAGCATACTTTTGTCGTTCCAACCTTCAAATGTTACATTGAGAAGAATGGCTGAAATGATTTTCAGTGAATTAAGATCTCCTGTAGAGAGATTGTCCAGTGGTGAAAGTGTGGTTTATGTCAGATATGACTAACTCCCACCCATTCTGCTATTTTAAGAACCTACCGTCCAGGTAACAAGTGGTTCAGCTTTTGTTTCCAGAATGTATGAATACCTACTATTGACAACTACGTCACAATAAACGTATGCCATTCTGATATTGCCCTCAGAGGCTTGTTTATGCTCTCAGGACCTTTAACGGCTGCACTGTGTGGACTGACATTCTCCTTAGGAATTTGTTTTAAGGCATTAATGGGTTTAAGTGTTTCTGTTTACAGGTCAGGAAACATTAGGTAGAGTAGAGAGAGATGCTTTCAGAAGTTGAACTGTATGTACATTCTGACTTGACTACATACAGAATTATTGAAAACCCTCCAAATAATTGAAATACTCCAAATATACTCAGATATAGAAGAAGCTTCTGTACTCTCCACCCACTGTACACTCTGTTTTAAAGAGGATGCCTTGCCCTTCATAGGACATGTTGCTCTAACATTACCTGTTTCTATTTTTTAAAGTTCAGCAGCTTGTAACATTTGTCACAGTTCTTCTATCTCACTGTCATTTTCCCATCACATGTCCTGTTTCATGTGTCACTTTTAAGATGCTTCTGAACAAAAACCTCTGTACCCAGCTGGTTTTGGTTCTTGCCTTGCCCACCCCATCCCAACCCGTTCCTGACCAGATATACTTTAACTAGGTCTTTTCTGTTGTACCTTTTTTTAAAGATTTTATTTATTTATTTGAGTGAGAGAGAGAGAGCACAGGTGCAGACTGCCTGCAGAGCAGGGAGCCCGATGTGGGACTTGATTCCAAGACCCTGGGACCATGACCTGAGCCGAAGGCAGACGCTTAACCTACTGAGCCATTCAGGCACCCCTTTTCTGTTATGCCTTAAAGGAAATGTTAAGATACCAATTTCTCTTAACAAAATACATCTTCATGATTTAATTTACTTATGAGTATAGAATCTATCATTGTCATACTGATCATCCCAAAGCCCAGCTTTGATTTTCTTACTTTTAGCAATTTTCTTCTGATTTTCAAATTGATTACAAACTCCTTTCTTTGGAATTCAAGGGGGTTCCAAGTAGGGTCCTACCATAATTTCAGTTTTATCTTCCAGTACTCCCATATATTTTAATTGTAGCCTAGTGTGTGTGGATGAGTTATTGTTGGTAAAATAGATTTTGTAGTCTCATCTTTTTATGGTGTGGGTGTCCTCAGAATATGCTGCATATATCTTCTTATCTCAGCCTGGTAAAATTATGTTCTGTTCTTTAAGGTCTCTAGGAAGTGCCTCAACTCTTTCCCACAACTCTCTGTACCTTCTTCCTACTTAGACCGTTTATATTTAATGTAACTATTTATATGGTTGGGATCAAATATACCACCTTGCTATTTGTCTTCTATGTTTCCCATTTATTCTTTGTTTTCTTTTTTCTGTGTATGTTTTTATTATTTTTTATTATTCCATTTTATTATTCCATTTCCATTGTTGACTTATTAGCTATATTTCTTTGTTGTGTGGGCAGATGTAGAAATCCCTTGAACTTACTTTACATAGCATTTCACATCTCACCTATGGCAGTTTTATTCTGCTATGAATAATAATTATCTGACTTCCATTAGATTATGAACTCCTTGAAGACAAGAATGGTGTCTTGCTCATTTTCATATAAAGTAGGTATCCATTACATACCTGTTAAAATAAATTGACCTAAGACCCAATTATCCCCTGTGGCTAGCACATGCTCATTTGTACTCTTCCAAGAAAAAGTTGGAATTAAATGCTTGAATTGTTACTCATTTTATTTCATCTCCTGTAGTTCTGTTTCTGCTAGCTATGTAAAGAACCCCAGAGATAGCCATCACTTTACATTTTAGTTTATTCATGAGTTAAAATAAGAGGATGGATCCTCATAACCACTTTCCAATGCTAGAATGAAAGTGAACAAAACTTCTGAAATACTATGCAAATATAGAATACTAACAAAACATGTCTTTTAGAGGAAACTTAATTATAAGCATGATATATTACAGTGTTTGTAAATCATCTCTTAAATAATCTATTATTTTTCTACTGTTACATGATTTCATTATCTTTGGTACCAGGTTTTTCTGGGCTCTGGTCTGTTACTGCCTATCATAACAATAGGAATGAGGTTGATGCATAAAATAATGAAATAAAATAGGTGTTTGTCAGGGCCCCTGGGTGGCTCAGTTGGGTAAGTGTCTGCCTCCTGCGCAGGTCATGATCCCAGGGTCCTGGGATCAAGCCCGCATCTGGTTCCCTACTCAGTGGGGAGCTTGCTTCTCCCTCTCTTCCCCACTGGTACTCTCTGTTGTTGTCTCTGTCTCTGTCTCTCTCTCTCAAATAAATAAAATCTTTTTAAAAATAGGTGTTTGTTTCTTGATAATGAGACTATGAGGGATTTTATTTCATTTAGACTCTACTTTTCTTTATATTCCATATTTTCTAAAATGCATTTGAGTTGTCAGAAAAAAAATG